CGGGAAGCCGGGCCCGGGGGAGCAGCGGCTCCGGTGACCGCCCCTTTCCTTACGCAACGCTTACACAGCCCACCAAAACTTTTAAGAAGGCACCTCTCCCACCTGCACCCACGCACGCCACACGCGTACGCGCATAACGCCCCGCGCTGCCAGCGGCAGCGATTTTTCACGGGGCTTGATGGACGGCAGGCGAGATCCTTCCCACCCTTCGTGGAGCGTAGCTGGCCTACGCTTAATTTCTGATCCCAGCAGCTAAACCCACGCTTTTGCGGGGTTTGGAAAGGTGGCTGAGGGAGGCTGCAGAGCCACCCTGAGCCACGGCCCCCTGCTTCTCCGGTGGGTAGAGCAATGGAAGAAGAACACGGGATCAGCTGGAGAGCAATCGCTCATTGCCCTCAAACGCTTTCTCCCTAACACATGATGCAGTCCAGCCTGTTGGGTATCCCCAGCTGTGGTTACACAAGTGAATGGATAGACAGGATTAAGGAAAAACAGGAAGTTTTAGAACAGACAAAGGGAGCCACCAGGACTGGAAAGCGGCAGCTGAATGCAGAGCTAAACATTCACAGCCTAGAAAAACATGGGAGAGCAACAGAAAGGGTAATTGAGGGCACCAAAAGTGGTTTTTGTAATATTAAAGAAATTTAGATTAATGCTCTTTAGAATAAAAAATTGAGCACCGATTTGAGCACTATATGAAATACCTGCAAGTGACATACCTGTAACTACCAGTCATATTTAAAAAAAAAAAAAAAAAAAAAGTGTTTTGGATTTCTATTACCACCTCCCCCTTGCCAATTTGTTTAACCTAAAGTAAACCCTAAACCACTTGGAACTTAAATCAGATTCCATGGGTGTGTTACAGTAGTTAGGATGAGTATCAGTCAGCTCGGCATATGATTTTATGTCTTTAAGATTTTACCTCTGTTGAAGCCATAAATAAAAGCAAAGGGTTGTATACAAGATGCCTGCGGGTTAGGGTATGCAATTTATTAAATAAGAATCCACTCAATTAAGACTTGACATAAAAAAAAATCCCTTATTAACTCAGAAAATTTTGCGGTGAGGAACTGGGAGCAAGAAACTTAACTTTAGCCATAGCTGAACATTTACCTGTTTTCCCTTCCCGAAATCTAGGAACAGATCGTCCTACAGAGGATACAGTTATCGGTATTGTCACAGATAAATGGTATTTCCAACTTGGCCGAATTTCCCACCTTACATTCTTTGCATAGTTGATGAGAAATTACTTTAAACAACAGGGAAAAGAAAAAAAAAAAAAATCCAGCACTGGAGTTACTTGCACTGCAGCGTTTGGTTTTTTGGTTTTGGCTGGCACACCACTTGTTTTTCTCTTGCGTGCTGCAGTCACAGCAAAGGAAATGGTGGCCAAAGGTTCTCTCCATTAAACCAGCCAGTCAGCAAAAGACCACAAAAATGCTGGAGGAATCCTGCAGTGCAATTATAAAGAGGCTGTTGGCATAGGCCTTTTCCACAGACAAAAAAAGGACAGGATTAGTTACATATTTGCATCGGATGTGCTAGGTTTTGAACCATATGCTGAACTCATAGATGCTCAACAAGGCTTATTCTGCCTTGATAGGAGAAGCCCTAACCACGCATCGGATCCGAGGCAGGAGAAGCTGACAGAACTTCAGGCTGAACCTGAAGGACGGTGGCCAAGGGGAAGGACATACATATGGTATATGTTATATGTTACATGTTATGATCTGTGCGTGCCCATTGCACAGATCGTAACCGCCTGAGGAAGCACCGAGCAGTTGGGCATGCTGTACTGCAGACACCAGCACACCTACCCAGCACCAGCTTGTTCCACCAGCCAGAGCACTGGTGAAGCACCATCTTCTGAAGCGAGATCATCAGTCAATCCTCTCCCGCTTTCTCCATGAAGATTCCTACAGTCCAGCAGCGCCAGCAAACACAGCCCATCCCTTGTTGTCTTCAGTGGACTTGGCCGCTTCACTTTTCATACCAGCCTGGCACAAGCTTCAAAATTTTGGGTGGGACAAGAACTGCTGGCATAAGCCCTACTTCGAACACACATAACGACGAGTTACAACGCTGGCAGCAACACTGCATCTGGTAACTTTAGGCAATATGCCATGTGCTAAAATAGCTGCCTGAAGCAATGGAATAACCTTGTTGCTGTTACAAATATGTACGCATGCTGTAGAACAACAACATGTCCTTCCCCCCTACCTGGTTGCCTTCTCACTTCACACAGGCACAGTTCACAGGAGGCCTGTGACCACCAGTTGTGCTTGGATCAGAGGCCGACATCAAAATCGACATCACAGCACTCAGTAGTTGACAGAATAGCATTGTCCTGTCTCTTGGCTTTTTCTACAGTAAGCAAGGATTGTAGTTCCTCTTTAACAACCCAAGGGAGAACCACTCCCTGAGAAAGGTAAAATTGCCAAGAGTTGGGAGCGTTTCTGCAGAGCCTTATGACCTTTGGCTGGTAGAACTTAACTAGAACATGCAGATCCTGGTAAAGCACCAAGCAAGCCTCTGGCCTTGAGTTGTCTGTCCTTAACAAACACACAACAGACTTAACAGCACTGGAATAAGTTCTAGCTCCACTAAAGCCTTTTGTCCACTGATCCTTTTAACAGACAATGAAATTTCTGTGAAGAAAAAGCATTACGCCACAAACACCGCATTTCCCCCTCACAGTCAATACCGAGGAACCCTCAAAAAGGAAACACTTCCAAACCACTCCAGCAATTCCCACTGCTGTTCAGACCTCTCAGAGAGACAACACAAATTTTCTTTGCTTCCCTAGATGTTTCACCTGAATGACTGCTGTAGGGATCATACTCAAAAATTTGTTTTTCTACCTTGTACCGCTGTGGAAGATCCAAATGCTGCACAGCACTGGAAAAAGATGAGCACATGGAGAACCTAGTACTATGACTCGTAAAGAAAACAGGCTTTCTGTGCGAGCCGTAACTAGTCAATAATGGAAATGTTCAGCTGGAACCACAATGTAGTGGTTTTGTCACAGGAGCTACTAATTCTGGACGTCAAGAAGAGGAACTGACTATGGCGATGTTAGTCACACGATTATTGCTCAGGTCTTGGCAAGAAGAGTCCCATGTAGCAAAGGAGGCAGTTAAGCTGTTTATTAATGACAATGGAAACAAAATAAAAGTGATAAAGCAAACAGATACTTCTTTAAATATAAAGTTTCTAGTCATCTGGTGTTCTGTCAGGCTCCCCCCCCTTTTTTTTTTTTTTTTTTTTTCCTTTTCTTTTATTTTTTTATTCAGGTGTAGTTACAAAAATCCATAGAGGATTTAGGGAAACATGGTATTTTAACATAAATTTGTCACCTATGACAAAGTCTGAACAGCAAACATCATATAAAGAAAAAACCCTCAAAACATATTCACAAATTCATACTTCGTAGTCATTGAGAAATTTCTTGGTTACCAAGTGGCAGATTATGCACGTACACTACATTCCAAAAGGCATCATCCAATCAGAGTCACTTAACATGAAATTAAGCTGAAAGACAGATTGTCTAAAAATAAGGCCAGTTTCAGTCCTAATTTATGCATCTGATGACCAGAATTTTCTGGTGCTTCTATGTTAATAATATTAAAAAAAAAAAAAAAAAAAAAAAAAAAAAAAAAAAGACCATAAGAGCACCTGATCTCACCCAAGTGGGACACGCAGACCAAATGGCAATTTTCATTCTTAGCAGGAGTTACCAAGAGTGGAAACTCATGAGAAAAGACGATAGTATACACCTTTCTTTGCCATCCTGTCTATTGCTAATTTTAAATGCTTGTATAAAAACAAATCCCCACACCATATTTGCAATATGATCATAAATAGGCAAAAGTTTAAAAATCTAAGATATGATTACCTCGGACTATCAAGCTGTTTTGCACTTCAGAAAAAAAGGGCACAAAGCCCAAGCACCTTTCTCTCCCTCCCTCCCCTCCAGTCCCCCCTCCCAGCCCCCTTTCCACTTCCAAACCAGGAAAAAAACCCCAAAAGTTATACTCTGATGAATATTAGAACTGGCACCAACATTCATGCTAGTTGCCCTGATGTGCAACAGGAAGTTCATTTACAATAGTCAGAAATATTCTTATGCACTAGCCCCAAAGAGTTCAGCTTCTGAAAACAGTTTTTTTTGTTGTTTTGAAAAAAATCCCATCAGGTGTGACGTGGGCAGCGTCCAGAAGGTGCAGGAATGTCCAACACTCTGCGTCGATCTTCATATTCGTCAGTGTCTGTGGAATCTTCATCTTCATCCACTACATATTCATTATGATTTGTTTCCTAATACAAAACACATCCACATTTAATTAAAATCTTCTATTACAGCTAGTTATAAGAAAGCACTAACGATTGCCTAGCAAAATCCAAAGTCTGCGTTATTGCGTCAGTTAGCTGAAACAGACATTGTGCTCTGTGTCTTAAAGCCAGCTCCTTACAATCACAAAGTTTAATTTGCAAGAGAGATCATTTTGTGAAACTACTTGTCTTTGTACCAATTTTCTTGGTGGCTTATGTTGTCTTTTAATATGAGTAGTTTAAAAAAAAAAGGGTCATTACTACCCTTAAAACAGAGGTAGGGCAAAAGAGAAAAGCAAATTCTTTTTACAGTGAACTGAATGGAAGGAGGTTACAGCTCCCATAAACGTGAGCACGAGTTAAGAGATGCCATTTTCTGTTAGAAGCACGACATCTGCTGGCACTTACTGTTAGAGCTGCTGGTGATGAGAGAGTCTCAAATCCCTTGAAAAATGTGAGAAAGTGTCCAAGTAGATGTCTACCCCTGAGGACTTGATGCTCACACAAAAACTTCAAGTTCTATCTGAATTAGCCCCTAAATAAGGGCTATGCTCATGATAAAATAAAGCATTTTTGTCGAAATGTGCCAAAGCAAAGGAAGAAATTACACAGTTCACCTGCAATCTCCAAATTAAAACTATAATTAACAGTAAGCTATCTTTTTTAAAATATAAAAATAAATATTTAAATATAAAAATAAAAAATTACATTTTTTTTATTTATGAAATATCTTCACTGATATGTGAAGTCATTAAGAGACTTTATGGAATGCACGTTCAGTGAGGACCAATGAACATAGAATCACAGAATCACAGAAGTGTTTAGGTTGGAAAAGACCTTTAAGAGCATTAAGTCCAACCGTTAAACATCATTGTCATTAACTGAAACTTTTCTTGCTGAAGAAAGTAGATATGCTGTTACGGCTAAAACACAGATGACAGTGTGGTCGTACCAAGATGAAGTATTTAAAAGAACTATGAAATCCAAACAGCTAATGCCATGCCATGTTCCTAGGTACAAATTAAGAAATGAGATCGCTCCTTAAAACAAAACAAGCAAAACAATGCTGCTGTAGTCTGCATAATCAGATAGACCTCTGAAATATGCCCTCACATACACACACACACACACACATATTCCTGTGCATCCTGAGGGGCACCTGTGGTCAGACACAGGCCGACAGAATGGTCACATTTTACAGAGAACCCACAGGGCTCCTGATCTCACCGACACAACCAGGCTTGCCCTTGATATCAGGCAGAGGGGAGGACTTGAGGAGGAAGACCCACAGCCGTATATGATGTCCTATGAAAGCCAGGGCCAAGGGGCTTGAATTAAACTGGTAGCATTGCATGTCAAAGCAATGAGGATACATGGCTTTACCAACGTACAAACTGCCTACAAAGATCACTACAGCCGCTAGACTTTGTCTTAATTGGACCACGTTTTGTACGGAGTTATCAATCTGCATACCGTTCAGTACTGTAATTTTTGCTCCAGAAGTGTTTTCTTATTGATAAACATTCCAGAAACTGAAAAGAATTCATATAAATGGGAAATTGCCAAAGTTTCAGACTGAGTGATACTTTTAGACTTTTTTTTTTTTTTGAGAAATGGTTCTGAAAGAGAAAGGTATTTTCAAGAAAAAAAATCAAAACTGAAAAGTGACCTGACATTGGAGTTTAAAAACACAGTTACACTGTCCTATTAAAATTAATCCAAGTGTTCTCTGAAAACAGGAGGTCAGAGGAAAACAAAAATGTAGGATAGGAACAACTACATCCCCGCTTACCATTCGTGCCGTAGACACCTTGAACGTTGGACACACCATATGAAATCTGGGAATTGTGACATTAAAGAATTTGTCCTTGTAGTAAAGGCAATGGAAGGTGTAATACCCCTCCATATATCCAGATGTTGTGGAAAATGTAGTACAGCTGGTATATTCATAGACTCTCCCTGGACTGATAATTGGAAACTCCCCTGTTGGTAAAATATTAGATGACAAGATTAAGGACTGAAGCAGAACTCCAGTTTAGCGGTTTGCTAAAGCACTTGCACTCCACAACATATTCAGGCCAATCATTTTACATTCCAGCAGATGCATAAATGCTTCTCAGCAACTATTGATGTTAAAGAACTGTCTAAAGAGTGTTTAACTATGAAGATGTTCAGACATCCCTTGCAAAACAACTGTAAAGACAAAACAGATGGATACACATCTCTCTCTTTCAAGCAACAAAATGATTTTGATACAAACCATACAACTACTACCCTCTGTCACCATGATGAACAGCTAATAACATAGCTTTCATAATATGTACATTAAATACAACAACAGTCTCTCTAGTGGGTTCATCAAAGCCATCTTTTACTTACCAACTACTCCAGGACCCTGAACTTCTTCTACATCACCTTTGGCATTTGTTATTCTCCAGTATCGACTGTCCAGCTGACAAGCCTTCTCAGGAAGAGCATCTTTGGACATTTCAATTCTAGAAGCCAAACAGCATATTTAATGGTTATGTAGCTATTTTCACACATTTTAAGAAATGCTTCAGTATCCTTGGGATCTCTCTCCTAGTAGATTGGGTAAAGTATACAGAATCAGTTGTTGGGATCCACCTCCATGCCTCTGCTTCACTATCTATTGTTATTTACCCCTTTTCTAAATCCCAAGAGTTACCCGTAACTTCTTTCCCCCACCCACCACTTTACCAATTATCAACTTGACCGGTACTTTGCATACCTGACCAGGTAATAATGTAGTATTTTTTTTATTACAAAGTACAGCATGTTGAACACGTCCTATTCATTTTAGTATATTTATAAATGCTGTGCATAAATTTGCAACGACTGATCCTTTGAACATTACATAGGTCTTTCCTGTGTTGTAAGAGTTGTTAGTTTTACCTGATTCTGTAAGTGAAGAAATAATGAGGTGGATGCACAGAACTGAGTTCAGGTAGAAAAGATGTGGATACAGAAACAGTAATATCTCCTGTGGTAGCAACACATTCTTTATCATGCACATACCTACAGAAAGGAAAACATTAACTCTGCAAATAGCTCTGTACATTCAATACAGAAAGCTAAACACGTAACGTGATTAGTTAATTACTAATAAGAGCACCATGGTGCTAGATTAAAAGTAATTCTTAACTTGTCATTTGGCATTTAAATAAAGGATGTATGCAGTGTCTTCATGATGTATGCCTCCTCATCACCTAAACTCTTGCAGTTATGGATCTCTTTGTACCTCCATTAATGCTTGTATTAAGCTGGGTGTATAATTTGATCTGAAATCAATGAAGACACGCTTGTTTAATAAGGATGTGTCATTGGGCTATTTAAAAAACAAAAACTAGGAACTCCTACAGCAAATTCATTTACAGATCAGGAACTTAGTTCTATAGCATCTCAGTTTGACAGAATTAAGGTTCTTGCTTATATTTGGAAGGAAAGTGCATGCAGATTCAAATGCCAGAAAAGTCCTGCTTATTTACATATTCAACAGTGTTATTTTAGAGACCAGTTCACTGAAACAATTGCTTTTTTAGCTGCAGCAGCAGCACACTCATGGCAAGGAGAATAGATTTATGTTGTTAGCCAAGATTCAGATCAGTTATAGTACAAAATTCCAGTCCTTGTTAATGCAAAGTTACAAAATCTGATGCTTCTTGTAAAAAAAAAAAAAAAAAAAGGTTTATTTAAGCATTCTGTTTTACAGCTTTAGCTGTAATAAGTTGCACACCCTTTCTCCTCTCTCCATCATCAGCTTTTTTATCAGATACTCGTAACTACTTGGAAAGAGGTCAGCATTCTAAAAGAAGCATCAAAACCTTGCAGTGAGGTTACAAATCCCAGTCACAATACCTGAAAATCTGGTCTCTGATGATAGGATAACCACCAGTTACAACTTTGTTTACATAGGATGTAAACCATTCCAAGTAAGATGTACCTAGATGCCAAAGAAGAAAAGTATTCATGAGGACAGGGAAATTTACCATTAAGCACATTACAACACATACTTCAAGGAAACAGTTTAAAGCTTTTAATATTTTTACAATAAACTCTCAGACTTACTTAGATGAGTCAGCCCATGGTCCAGTCCATTCTACCAACACAGATCATTTGGAGAAACCAACCAAGAACTAAGAGTTAAGGGTCCATACTCCAGAAATGACACAGCAAACAAAGAATCTCTTAGCTAAGTATTTCACATTATAATCATGGTCTTCAAATGTTGGCGTGTCTCATGATCCAGTTTCCCACTCATAACTTTTCTGCTATGACTGGGAAAGACAAGTATAGTGGACTGTACTACTTGTATAGCTATTTCCAACTATTTTATGTACAACAGGCGTGCAAGCCCGCTGCTGGATTGACGGGCTTAACTTTGATTTGCAGGTTTCCATATGAATAGAGTTTCTAAGAAACACACTAGCAAGTTGCGGAATTTCCCTCTCCTTAAAAACAGGGATAAGCCATAGACATAGAATCATAGAATACCAGGTTGAAAGGGACCCCAAGGATCACCTGGTCCAAACTTTCTAGGCAAGAGCACAGTCTAAATATGGCCCAGCACCCCGTCCAGCCAGGTCTTAAAAGTGTCCAGTGTAGCAGAGTCAACCACATCCCTGGGGAGATTATTCCAATGGTTGACTGTTCTCACTGTGAAAAATCGACATACTCCGCACTGCTGCTACAAACCCAGGAGACTAAGGCTGTATGTCATTCCAAAGAATGTGGGATTTTCATACACTTACAGCCCTTGTCTGAGAACAGCTTTTCATACACCTACAGCTATTATTTAAGAACTGCCTGGTTTCTAAGTAGACAGTCAAGCTGTCACATTTAACTCTCAAAGAAGAGTTTTTCATACAAGAGATACCAGCTCTCCATAAAAGAATTTCTCAGTCATACATCTTCCAAGCGTTACAATATAGAGTTCAATAGAAAAGTACAGAGTTCTTCAATTATTTGTCAATATTACTGATACAAAACTGGATTTTAGCTGAAATACTAAGAAATCGTTATCCTCACCTTCTCTGACGCGTTATCAAGTACTACCACTCCTGTTAGATTAAGCGTACTTACCACTTTTTCCTTTCAGCAAGAGCTATGTGTGCTGTCCTTTGACCTTTTGGAAGTCTAAGGAACTCCAAGTTTATTATCGTCCTTTCTACCACTAATCCACAAAATGCAAACCTTGTATAAAGTAATTCCGAATGGAAAAAGTGGAGCAATTTACCCTGTCACGTTCAAAATGACAAGATAAATGCTGTATATGAAATTTCCCCTCCACCCTGCAATAAGCAAAGATTAACCCTTTCTGGCATGTGGAATACATTTAAATATTATGTCAGATCACCTCACCATTGGTTCAATTCCATAAAAGCCGCAACCTTGAGCAGCAATACCAGTTCACCACAGAGTAGCTTTAAAGTATTACATCATCCTCGGGTGGAGAGAAGCAAGTAACCAACCTCTTGAGCTTTTGCTATATCTTTCCTATGATGATTCTAAAGCACGCAATGCATTCTGCAGTAAGACCTTTGTAAAACAGATGACAGGTTGACTACTTCACATTGAAATCAGTTCATACAATCAATCAGTACATGGAAAGGTTTCCTAAAATTAGTACAGCTAAGAGTCTGACAACCTTCAACCCAAACCAGCAATGGTATAGCATTGCCAAATGTGGTTTCTTGCAGGATATATATATGAATATTACAAATAAATGTGCAGGGCTAAATTTTAATATTAATTTTGGTGCATTTATTACACATCTGCTTTCCCACTGAGTGAAGGGAATTAATTTAGATATAGCCATAGTTACCAGATTCTAGTGGATTAACGAAAAGAAATAGTCAAAACACTATTCCAGTCAATGTACATCAGACAGATGATCACAACAGATTACTACATAAGCAAACAACAATTGTGCAGTTTTCACCTTCCCTCCTTTATTCTTTGAACAAGGCAATCAGGCAAATCAAAAATCCAGAAAGGTTTTCTTCTGCAGCTATGTTTATAGTTAATTAGATTTCATGAAGGGCCACAAAATATTTTCAACTTCTAACAGGGCTGCAAAAACTACCTGGGGGAAAAAAAAAAATCTGTCCACCTGGATGGTGTATTTAATAACTGCTTACATCACTCCCATGATGGATAACTTAAAGGTGTTGCTCATCTTGTTAGACAGGTTGGTACACTAAATGATTTGTACACAAGACACACAGATGGACTAGCTTTAACAGAGAAAACTTCCATCTCATTTCAAGCAACCGCTGATGTTTTAGAGTAGGCTAGAGTCTTGCAAGTGGCACAGAAAATTTAGAACACTTGCTTTGTTCAAGTCATACTGACGTGCATTTTCTAAACAGTGCAATTAAAACATTTTGCAAAATGTTTTATCTGAAGTGTTACCTGTAATGAACATATCAATAGCAGATGGATTGCGAGCCATTTGGTCCTGAAAGGGAAAGCAGGTTATGGATGTATTAGGAGGAAAGCATTAGACTTTAAAGGTTAAAATTCCACACCTGAAATATAACGTAGGAAATACTGTCCCTATATTCACTAAACCTAAAATCTGGCTGCTTAATACATCATTGGGCAGGCATCCCTGAGAAGAATCTAGCTCTGACTTCTTTATGCCCTGCTACCAGGTATTTATAAACATTGATAAGATTCCCCTAAGCCTTCTGTTCTCCAGGCTAAACAATCCCAGCTCCTGCACTACCATATTATCCCCTGAAACAAGTAGGGCTGTCCACAGATGAATCAAAATATGTGTGTAAATAATGTTCCAATTTCCCAAGCAGTATCCAGAAGGTTTAAATACACAGCATAATACAAAGGCAGATCTTAACATCCTTCAAGTGATGCATTATCAAGGCATTCCTTAGAAATCTCATTGCTGCATGCTTTGAAAACAAACAGCCAGGATCTTCACAGCAGGATGAAGATCCCCATCTTTTTTACAAGAAACACCCTTTACTTGCCCTGCTTTCTTTTTGGGGTGGGGAGGTTGTCAGGGCATGGATAAGGAGAGAGGGGGCTAAAATCTTGTTAAGTATAATATCCTTAAGCTTCATTAGCAACAATATGCCTATCTTAAAATAGCTGTAAGATTTATGAAAAATACTTAATTATGTTCTACAAAGTAGCTGTTCAAGAGCAATTTGTTCTTTCACTGGAGGGTAAGTTCTGTTTGCAAACCAGAGGGTATCATTTTTTGTAGTAAGTTTACATTTAACATATCTGGGGGAGGTGGTATAATAGATGCTGATATTCCATAATGGAGAAGATTTTCTTCCTTACAGAAACCAGGGACAAGAGCATATACCTGCCATACTTTGAGCAAATTAATTTCATACCGTCCAATAAGGATGAATGTTGTCCACTCTCATGAACTTACAGCAATTGCTACAGCCATTAACAACTTCCTATAAATTTCTTTCCTTTACTAACCGTTCCACTTACGGGCTTTGATGAAAAGCAGATGGCAACTCAAGGGCAAGTAACAAACTAGTGTGATTTCTTAGTATTCACCTTACACTATGTAAAATATTTCAGGTATCTGATAACATGCATAGGGACACCATCAATCATTATAAAAGTACATTCACAAGTATAAACATATCTTCCTTACTGGACATTGATAGAAGATCTCGTATTTATTTCGTCCCTCCACACTCTCCAGGGCCATGTATTGACTCAGGCCAGTATGAATGCAAAAAGTAAGAGGAAGGCATTGTTTCAGACCTAGCCTCTGCTGAAAACCTCCAGCCGCTGTGTCGATATCCAACAAGTCTTCAGAGCGGTAGTGGTTCGACAGTGCCATGCTTCCCATCAAACTTCACAGATGACAAAAAAAAAAAGATAAACAGAAGATAACCAGTCACAAGGCAAAGATAGCTTTAAATCTTTTCTAAGCATTGATTCTATCAATGCTCTAGATGCATATTAGACCTAGATGAAGTCCAACTCTAATATCCAGGTGCTGAACTAGGTTATTGGTTCAGAACATCAACCTTCATAAACGGAGGCTTGATGGCTCCAAGATAAACACTTTGTTGTATGTTTTGTGCATCCCAAAGCACAGTTTTAAAACGTGTTGGTGATTCCCATCATGTCTGCAATTACCATACTAATAACCAGCGCTCCGTATCTCAAGTTTTTTGCAAGTTCATTTCAATACTGTCAAAGCATCCATGATTTTTCAATTAGAACACCAAGCTGCTATAGTAACAGTCATTGATCAAAACTACAGTGAGCAACGTGCTTTATGCTTTGGAGAAAAGGTTGAGAAGTAAACAAGGAAAATAACTATTGAGTCAGAGAGATTACAATCTCAGTATAAAAACTAAGGCAGACACAAGCAGACATAGAAGGAAAGAATGAGACAATATTGATCAGCATGACATGCCAAGACCATCAACTATCTTTCTAATGTTTTCCTCTAGCTTTTTGTAAGCATCACAGCAAAGGATGGGATTTTTTATTTGCTTGGTTTTGACAATAACGAAGTGACATCAAAGACAGTAAAAGGACCCTCTCTATACATAAGAAAAGAATATATACATTTGGAAAAAAGTAGTACTAATCTGAAATACGTAACAGATTAAGAATGGAGGTGAGCATCGGAAGCTGAGGTTAACATGGATATGAATATTGGGCTAGATGAGAGCTAGGGTGAAAATAAAAAAACCCCAGCAACCTACACTCAATGCAATAAAGGGGCAGACAATGGAAGCATGATAAAAAGGACTAACATGATCAAAGTAATTAACTACAAGGCCACACACTACAGCAGTGCACTTTGCAGTAACAGGAGTACACAAACCTGTAATGTACACCTCCCCACCCGTACTCCCTTCTAATTTGCCTTTCACTGATGTTCTCAGATGTAAACTCTTGCAGATGCTAAGCTTTTACTGGTGTTATGAAAACAGTGACTCAGGCGCAAGCTGCCACACGTCAGCATGATATAAGCTGCTCCCACCCTGGGCAACAGGTTCCATTCCTCTTTTTCCTTACGTAGTCTTGTCTGTAATTAGCATGCTCTACAGTTTAAAAAGCAATGCTGTCATCCAAACACAGAAACCTGAAGCATCTCACAATGACAATTAGTCCTGAATCTCCTTTGTTTCTGACCTAACATGCCAACAACTTGCTGCACAGACTTCCACTACCTACACCTGACCTTTCCAGTATTCATCTCCCACAAGAAAGCAAGCCTGTCCCCAGTAGTAAGACCACACCTTCCCCTCGCAGCGTGGCAGCCTTTCTTGCTGCAGGGTCCCACATGTCAGACACAACTAGTCCCCCAGTATTTCACCAACAAGGTTTTTCAACCTGTGCGTAAGGCTCAGGCCCTCGCTTTGAGGTCACAGCAATGGACTGTGTTCTCTGGCAGTTCTCAGGCTGAAAGGCATGCCCAAAGGCCTATGCCTGCTCCAACAGCCCTTCCACAGGCACGTCGTCACAGCAGAGGCTTTGTGGGAGTGAAAAAGTTGTTGTAGGAAGAGCAGGAAGCACACAAGCTGCAGAGCTCCATTTGAAGTCTACAGAACTAGGGCACCTATCTCCTCTCTAAAAAAGTCTCTCCCAGAAAAGAAACAGAACTAGAAGTCACCCTTATGGTTGCATAAAACTGTTTCCCCTATTCCTTCTGCACATACACCACTAGAACTGGAGGAAGCTGCACCTCCTTTACTAGTGAAGGTTTTGGTAAAGCAACATGAATGCATTGCCCCCTACAGAGACTGCAATGATTTGCCCTAGCTTTCCATCTTTTGCTAATGTTTGTGGCGCTTCATCAAGTGCTGACCTGCTAACTTTTTCTATAGTTGGAAGATAGGAAGCAATGTTTTGTCATTTGCCTTCTAACCTTGATGTAAAAAGAGATTTTAATTGCTGAAACCACATAAAATTGTAAAATCTTCTAATAAAAAAAACCTTAATTTGCAGAACTGACATTTTGATTCCATTTGAAAGAACTACCTGGTTTGAAAGTTATTCCCTAACCATTTTAAAGAGAAAAATTATTAAATGATGAAACCTGTAGAGTCCAAGAGGTTCATTTACTTGTGTAACACAAAGCAAAACTTCAGGGGAGAACCTGGCAACTTGCAGTGCTGTGATTAAAAGTCTAACAGTTGGAAGTTTTAGTTATTACATTAAAAAAAAAAAAGGTTCTCATTAGGAAAATGGACTGAAGAGTAATTTGAGCAATTGGAAATCTACACTGTGTTTTCAATTACTTCTGAGACTAGAAGACAGCCCACCCTAGAAGTGTCACTTCAAGCGGTCACTCACTTACAATACATTTAAATGCTTCATCTGTTCTGTTCAGCAGACATTTTATCTTTTTAATAATAAACTATCCAAGAAACACAAAAGCAATTAATAACTCGGTATTTTCGCTCCTTACCCAGGAACAACTAGCTTCTGTCCATTATGAATACGAAATGAACATCGATAGTCATCAGGGAGTTTGCAACCTATTTGTGCTTCCACAGCATCTAGATCTTCCTCCCGCACACTCTCTGTGTACAAAAAGAAATAGAGTATTAAGTGGCAGTTTTGGAAGGGGAATCAAGAACTGCTGCTCCTACAAAATTCTCAAATTCAGTGCTGCTTCACTACTCTGCCCCCAAGTGCCTGGTTTGCTGTTCCTGACAAAGATGAGTATTAGAATTTGCATTAAGACCTTTCCTTTAAAGTTTTATTTCACATCATTTCATCAGAGCTGCGTGGCTAGAAATAAGGCAAAACCTAGCTACATTCTAGACATAACAGCATGTTTTCAACTGCCAAGAGAATTTTTTCTCTTTGTAAGCCGCAGCAACCTTAGCATTATGGATGTTTTTTTATGCTGTGACAAAAGGAATATGTATTTCAAAGTATTTTGCCACTTATAATTCAGAGAAAGTGAACTAGCAGACATACAAAAGCAAGATAAATTCAGTCCAACTTGGGGATGCAGCTGTCTGCTATCATGGTCTCAAGATTCTGCCATTGATTAAATTCATGCTAGTGGCCAGAAATCACTAAAAATCAAGTATTTTAAATACAAAGCATAGAATTTATAAGTGCCTTGATCAAACGAATACGGATTCACATCAGTATTTGGTGACTTTATTGTATGCTAGGTGGCACAGAATGAATACTACATAAATTTGAAAGGAAGATGATTACATTAACTGATTACTTAATACAGCACCAATCTCCATCCAGCAAAACCTTAACAGCCCTGACCTGAGCAGAAAGTATTCATAAAATGAAATGAACCTTTCCCACACAATATTGTCATTAACTGACTGACTCCCAGTTAAAACTTTTAGCCAATATTGATTTTACTCTTTCATCATTCTAAGGGTTCCTTCTTTCAGTCTCCAGCCCAATCAGCAACAAAGAAATGTTGGCTGCAGCCACCATGCACCCAGAATTTGAAGCAATAAATGGGCTGTAACAAGGGGATTTTTGTATCATCATCAACAGAAAGGGGTGGGGAGTAACTACTCTTACACCTCCGCACACACTTCAAGGGGTTTTGGCACCCTCACTTCTACCAGAGAACAACTGGGTGGCCTACATGATCTGTTCCAATCAAGGTTTTTTGGGTGATTTTTTTTTTTTTTTAAACTCTTTTAATATTCATTATCGGTTTCATTTACATGGCATAATTTAACAATTCATTGAAACGAGATCTTGTACAAATGGTATTAAAAAGGTATAAGTTATGGAAGAGCTCCTGATGAAACCTGCCATCACTATACAAGCATGGAAATTGATCATTTAAAACTTATTTTTGTCTTTCTGTAGACAAAGAGAAGCTTCACTGCACCAAATTCCTTGGGAGGATTTTGCAAGTAAAACTGTGGTAAAATCTGTTCATTTCCACACCTCCAACACAGATACTTTCCATTTTATTAACAAAATATTTGACTGACAGTTCAGTGATTCTGTATACCCGAGTGAAGTCTGTGTTTTTAATAGAGCAGCAAGGAAGTTAGAGAAATCAAGGCATGGATACCTACATCAGGTACTATGGCCTACATTAGACAAGAGCTCAGGCTACGCATAACCCTGTCAGCCTTTTCCTAAAAAGGCATTCCTTCACTAACACTCAGAAGTAACAGAACAAATTTTTTTTAAAGAAAACAGTAAGTATTAAGTTCTAACCATGTTCTGTTATTCACAAATACTTAGCAAAACTTAAGAATCCAGCACTATCCAGCAAGCCAAGAAACATGCAAGGTTTATGTAGGAAAGAGATCATTGTCTATAAATTTCTCTAAATTTCACAGATAATGTTAAATCAAACATCTTGGTCTAGCAGTCAGTTTCATACAGAAGACTGAAGCACAGTTGAAAATGTAAGAGCTGGTTTGTGCCTATACCAGAAAAGCCCAAACTTGCTGTATGTCTTGCTGCATAAGATTTATGAACCAGAACACTGGAAATACTACAACTATCAAAACACAAACTTAATGTGAAAACAGAATCTTGAGGGGGGAAAAAAAACCCAAAACAGTAAAAATTCTTGTTCAGCCACTAATTTACCTTCATTAGAGGAACACAGTAAGACCTGCAGAAGATAAAAAAAAACACTTCCTTTTTGTCTGGCTTTAGTTTAAAATGCCTGTTTTCATGTGGAAGTGTTTTAATTAGGTCTTAAGAAAATCTCACAAATAAAATCATACCAACAGGTTCCAGGTATTTGAAGTAATGGGATTATTAAACTAAAAAATAGTAATAAAGAAACAGAAAAAAAATCAGTCACAGCAAGCCAAGACAAAAGCAGTAAAAGTGTATTCATTTCCTGACTATCCAGAGATAAAGATAGACTGGTCACTAGAAAAAAAAAATAATCTTGATTTCTTCTCTGAAGAGAAATCTTAATCTATGGATCACTAGTAACTGGGCAAGGACTATACATGTGGTCTGATTTACTTATTTACTGGAGGGGAAAGGAAAAGCACATCTACTTGACTTTCAGGGCTCCAGTAATCGAGGCACACACCTAGGGTGAAAGCAGTGTGAAACAGTAACAGACAATGTCACGATAGCCAACCTGCTAGAGAAAGCAGGAATCACACCCTACCTTTCAAAGAGCCAATCATCCGAGGACACCGCTGTCCTAAGTATTTCTCTAGGTCATCCCAGGCTTTTTTCAACGTAGCATAGTATCGGATGTATCTTCCTAGGTCAGAGTAGGTACTGATGAAGATGGCTTTCCAGCTCTGATTTCGTTGACTTTTTTCCTCTCTAAGTGGACATGAAGAAAACAAGTTCAAATACCAGCCTAAAAAGCTTGACTTCGAAAACCAAGAAATTAGTATTTGTTATTTGGCAGAAAGGCTATGCATAATATTAAGCCAGGAACACTTAGAGCCATGGGAAGCTACACGAACTCAGTTAATTCCGGCATCTATTCAACAGCAACTTGGCACAGAATTAGGAAACATTTGGGGTACTTAGTATCAGGGGAAAATTTAGAAAGTGTGTTCCTTTAAACAGAGCACTGTCTATGATTAAATCTTAGAACTGGTGAATAGCTAATTGAGATCACATTTCACACATATACAGAGGCGGCCTTCCAACGAATCACATTTTTTGATCTCCTGCATTAGTCACAAACTCTTTTATTTACCCAGTAAGAAGGATTAAGGAGTAAACCAGAGAGTCAAATGAGAACTCTGTGCACTGATCTGGAAAGTCAGTTTCTCAAGACATTACTGCATATTCAGTTCTCCTCACAGGCACAACAGCAGGCTATGGGAAGATAGGCTGCCAAAAAAGCGCTGACTAACATCTGACAAAGGCTGCTTGCCTCCAAATTGTAGCAGCCTTTGCATCTTTTTGTTGGGGTATATTCCAACTCCTCAAACTCTAATCAGCAAGCTGAATCTAAAAGATTTAGTACAGCTTCGTACACCCAAATAAAAATATAACAATTAAGAAGTCTTGACATCGCCTTTAAGATCTCTTTAGCTCTAAAAAGGAGAGAAGAACCTCACTTCTTGAAGAAGAGTTGAGGGGAAAAAGTAATTTAAGTTGTATCGGGAAGTTAGATAAACTAATGCCAAACCAAAGAGGTAAAAGAAAAAACCTCAAAGTGAATTATGTCTCAGCATTGAGAGAGGTTTCAGCATATTTTCACCCTCCTAATGTTGTTTGTAGAAATTACCTACAGCCTTTATTACTCAGTTTTTCTTGACTACGGAGAAGCCAGCATCTCAGAAACTGACCTCAGAGCCAGTTCTCCTTAGTAAAGCCCTATAACCCCCCCAACTTCCCCCATACACACACCAAGTTCCTCTTCTAAGGCATCAGGT